GCTGGGATTTAACGCATTTGAAGTGAAAGTATGAACATATACTATGTGTGGAGAGCATTCACTCAGTATCATTATCAAATTTTTGACCAAGATAGCTTTTAGAGGCTTTTGCATTGGAACTCTTCATATAATTCCTTAATTTACCTTTGTAAAGAAACATCTGCTGTCTCAGACGACGTCATCTTAGTCCTGTGTCGGCTACCGTAGCTTCTCTAAAGGGAGGGGTGAGTGGTGGACTGAGCCGTTGGTTGCAATTCGCAACCTCACCGCTAGATGGCACTACGATTTACACACTGCACTTTTAATTTTGCACAAATATTTTATTTATTTTTGCACTGACTTTCATTATATTCAAATTTCATTTTACTTAGACAAAATTTACATTTTGGGTCAAGCAAAGGTTTTTATTGAGACTAAAGTTGCAATTAAAAACCTTCGTTAACATTGTCTTCTGCAATTTTGTTAACATTGCCCCAATGCCAGGTCTTTTCAGAGGCATGATTCCCTTTTTGTTACACTTATCTTTGCACCACAGGACAAAACATTTAATCCCAAAGCTCATGTAACATATTTTATAGATTTATTGGAAGCTGCTGGATGAGCTTTTGTAACAGACAAAACAACCACATGCAATGTGTGTCCTCCTAGGCAATGACGTTAATGGACAGGCAGAAGCGAGCAACCTTGCAAGCTGTTCCTGGGTCAGAAAGCGAGGACCATAGGGTCCTTCCTAAAGGGATTATCCCAATGAAGCCGCGAAGCATACATGGATGCGCATCGTAACTTATCTCTTTAACAACTCCCACTTAATTTAAGTTAATGCAGGCCACTTCTAAAGGATTCACGGAAATAAGGTCAGACACTGTGATCCGTATTCATTTGACCCCACTTTCTGTAATGTTGCCTGTGGGTATGTGATTTCCAATGCAGCTCCTGCTGTTTGGGAGGTGCAAGCATGTGACTGATTGATAGAAAGAGTTAGGGCAGGAGGTTAAATAAAATTTATGACTTTTGTAGCTAAATTAATTCCACAACACAGTGTGTATGGACAAGTACATGCAGTGCAGATAAAGGACACGTCGCTATTGCTGTAATCCGGAACGGGATTGAAGTTGTTCAGGAGAGTAGCTGTGAGATGGCACTCAGTGTCCTCGGAACACCATGACTTCACACTTCTTCAGAAAATCCATGCTTGACTGATGGGACATGCTGCTAATAGGTTTCTACCGAGTGCTCATTATAATACTTCCTGAACCACAAGTGCTCTTGCTATACAAAATGTAGAACAGCGGGAACTCTGTGGACTGAGATAAAACACATTAGCTCATTTCATGGCCAGATCTTTGGTCTTGAGCATGCTTTATATTATGGTTTAACCATGTATGCCGTCGGCTTGTAATATTGGACGGATTCAGTGTTTTAAACAAGCGGGCACTTAAGCCGCTCCCTTTATGACATCACTATCACTTTCTGCACATATGCAGTATCATTTGCATTAATGGTGCAAGAACCATAGTAGAAATCAACACAGAAGAGACAAAAGGAATGATGAGCCCCTTTTGTGGGACCAAAGCAAATTAAAGGGGTCATATGATGCGATTTCAAGTTTTCCTTTCTCTTTGGAGTGTTACAAGCTCTTGGTGCATAAAGAAGATCTGTAAAGTTGCAAAGACTAAAGTCTCAAATCCAAAGAGATATTCTTTATAAAAGTTAAGAGTCAGCCACACCTACCTAAAACGGCTCGTTCTAACACGCCCCCACATATCTACCTCACTATGTGGAAAGATTTGCATAACACCGCCCAAATGTTCACGCAAAGAAAGAAGGCGTAACTTTTATTCTCGCTGTAGTATTGTTGACGCTGCAGCCATGTCATGAAGACGCTGTGTGCTTCGTTGTGAAAGCGAAACTACTTTGTTTGGTCTTCCAAAAGAGGACGATACCTCGCTTTTTCAGACCGATGAGCTTTGTAAAAATCGACGCGTTTCAGAAAGGCGGGGCATAGAGGAGAAACAATAATGTACAGTATGTGGAAAATAATGTTTTTTTAACTTTAAACCGCATAAACACATTTCATTACACCAAATACACAAAATAATGTTCTTTTTAGCAGCATCATATGACCCCTTTAAAATATCCTGTACACTACTGTTAAAAAGTTTTAAAAAGTTCAAAACTGTTTTCTATTTTTATATATTTAAAAATATATATATTTCTGTGATGCAAAACTGATTTTTAGCAGCCATTACTCCAGTCTTTAGTGTCACATGATCCTTCAGAAATCTTTACTGTCACTTTTGATTAATTTAATGCATCCTTGCTGAATAAAAGTATTAATTCCTTTAAAATAAAAAATCTTACTGAACCAATATTTTGAACAGTAGTGATGAAAATATTTATTTTATTTCAAGGCCCAGGACTGTCAATAGAATAAAATAATCATTATTAAAGGCATAGTTCAACTAAAAATTAACTCTTTTGTTACCCATGTTTTTTTTTTTCAAAATATATTTTTATGTTCAACAGAAGAAAGAAAGTCATACAGGAAACTCATTGGAACAACTTGTGGTCGACTAAATGATGACAGCCTTTTTCATTTTTGGGTGAACTGTCTCTTTAATCAGTCACACTTTATATCAAGGTCCAATTCTCGCTATTAACAAACCATTAACTACGACTTTGCCTCAATAAACTCCTAATTTGCTGCCTATTAATAGTTAGTAAGGTAGTTGTTAAATGTAGGTATTGGGTGGGATTAGGGATGTAAAACATGGTCATGCAGAATATGTGCTTTATAAATACTAATAAACATCCAATATGTTATTAATAGGCATGCTAATAAGCAACTAATTAATAGTGAGAACTGGTCCCTATACTAAAGTGTTACCCTTTAATCTTATGATTTCCAACCATTCTGTAGAAAGCAGATTGAAACAATATACATATTGATTGAAATAAATATATTTAATTAATGTTAAACACATTTACTTTGACTACCCAGACCCCCTATAGCATCCAAAATAATATTTTCCACATACTATTTTAATACAGTGACTATTTAAAGGTCACTTTTAAAGGTTATTTACCATGTTGTACAGTATATGTTCTCAGCTTAATATTTTTAATTGGTCTTTATACTTACATTTAAAGAATGATTCTCTTCTTACACATTCATACCATCTTACTAAAATACCTCATAAGTTGAAATATCTAAATTGAAACTTGCTGTTGATTCCATTAGTAACACAGCCACAATTTCCGTGTAATCCTGACAGAATTCTACAAAGGAAAGGAGAGTGTTCGCTCATCTGACACGTCAAGGTCAGAGAAACTTATGCACCCTTCAGAATCACCTGAACTGTGCTAGAGATGATTGAGAGACGTCTCTCCTCATAAATATCAATCCTACTCTCATTTATAAAAGGCTCTAGGTCTGTAATGGAAGATTTGATTCATTAGCCCTAATATTCCTGGAGACCTTCTCTCGACCGCAATCAGAATAATAGTCACCTTTTATCCGCTGCTATTTTGACCTCTAGAGATTAATTAGACATTTATCGAATATTGTTTTGCGTTAGCAGAGTTAAAACAGGAAATAAATGGGTAACACTTTATTTTAATGTGTCCTTGTCACAAGTTACATGTATAATAAATTTAAATTAAATTAAATTAAATAATTTTTTTTAATTAAATTAAATTAAAATTAATTAAATTAAATTTACATGTATAATAACAATAAATATAATATAATATAATATAATATAATATAATATAAATAATATCGTATGCGGTTTTACATTGGCCAGGAATCAATATTTGTAAAGGAAGATAAATTAGATATATGAGACACTTAAGTAACTGATTTAGCATTTCAAATTATGCAAAAGGAACCAGAAATTCTAGTGATGTTTAATCATATATGGCATTATTTGAATGTGCTGCTTGTTCGGTAGCTGAGCTCTTGGGAGTTTTTGTTTGTACATCATCACAATCTCACAAAACATCTGAAGATGCAGGAGATTACAAAGCAATACTAGATAAAGAACATTATCGTAGTACATCAGGTGGCATGTCCATGTGACAAGTTACGTATGACCAAATCCCTCTTTTACTGGATTGCCAGACAATAAAGAATGGAACAATCATTGAGGGAACAAAGAATTTGCCAGGTCTTTAAAAAAGCAAGATATCTTTTTTTTAACAGGTGACCAATGGTGCATGTTGAATGAACTATTCCCAGCAGATAGGGTGCAGTGAGAAATACATGGGTGAAGGCATGGCTGTTGTCTTCGACCTGCTCAGATTGGAAAAGCTCAACCTGCAGTTGGTCAATAGTGGCAGGAAGGTCTGCTCACGCTTGATCCTCCCACTCATTCATTTACTGAAGCTAGTTATGGGTAGAGAGCTGTCACTTCATGCTCTTGTTTGATATTCATGCCATATGCTCGCTCATTCATTGAGGTCCCCTTCAACACAGGTAATCAAAGAAAATGGGATGCTATTTTTGTACTGGTTTTATTTATGCCCTTATTTTTATGGTTTTTGATCCCACCTACGACACACAAACAAAACACGCACGAAATCTGACTCCTCTAATCATAACAAAATGGATTTACTGTGTTCTTATGTTATCAAATTTTCCAGAGCTGTTCTAGGACCAATTTATCTTGATGCTTGAGATACACAAGAAGAGGCATGCAAAAGAAAGTTTAGTGATTGCTTTTGAGGATGTAAAGGCTAAAATCAAGACAAATAATGTTAGAATATTTTTAAACTTTAATCTTGTTGCCAACAATATTTAATTGCAAAGCAAATGGATCAATAAATTACTTAAAACTAATCCAATTTTTGTAGAAAATTAAATAGAAAGTAATATTAACTTTCTATTTAATTGTCCACTAAAATAGATTTGCCTTTCATTTTAATGTATCCTTAAAAACATTATTTTAAGAAAATAAGATTGTGTGTGTGTGTGTGTGTGTGTGTGTGTGTGTGTGTGTGTGTCTGTGTAAAGAGAGAGACAGAAAGGCTTTGCGCTCATGCTTTCATTGCATAAGAAAGTACACAATTTAACTAAACATATTGTTGCAAGTTTATCTTTAGCACTGCACAAAATCTTTTGTTAATTTTTGCATAATGAACCAAGAAAAATCATAATGACTTACGCATTTTTTTTCTTTCTCTTGCAGATATTGGCCATCATATCCATTCTGTTCATCGTTCTTTCAACTGTTGCACTTTCCCTGAACACCTTGCCTGAACTCCAAGTGACAGATGAATTTGGCCAGGCCAATGACAATCCTCAACTCGCTCACGTTGAAGCCGTGTGTATTGCATGGTTTACAATGGAGTATCTCCTGCGCTTCCTGTCATCTCCAAACAAGTGGAAATTCTTCAAAGGGCCACTAAATGTCATTGACTTATTAGCTATATTACCCTACTATGTCACTATTTTTCTGACCGAGTCGAACAAAAGCGTGCTGCAGTTCCAGAACGTGAGGAGGGTGGTGCAGATATTCCGTATCATGAGAATATTGAGGATTCTGAAGTTGGCAAGACATTCAACAGGACTGCAGTCTCTTGGATTCACCCTCAGGCGCAGCTACAATGAGCTCGGCTTACTCATATTGTTTTTAGCCATGGGAATCATGATATTCTCAAGTTTGGTCTTCTTTGCAGAGAAGGATGAGGATGCAACCAAATTTACCAGCATCCCAGCTTCGTTTTGGTGGGCTACAATCACCATGACTACAGTGGGCTATGGAGATATTTACCCACAGACTCTGCTTGGCAAAATAGTCGGAGGACTTTGCTGCATTGCTGGTGTGTTGGTCATTGCCTTACCCATCCCTATTATTGTGAATAACTTCTCCGAGTTCTACAAGGAGCAGAAACGACAGGAGAAAGCCATCAAGAGAAGAGAGGCCTTAGAACGAGCCAAGAGAAATGGCAGCATTGTTTCAATGAACCTGAAAGATGCCTTCGCACGAAGTATGGAGCTAATGGACGTCGCCGTGGACAAAGGTGATGATAAACGGCCAATGGACAACCACCTTTCTCCGAGCCGGTGGGGTGTTCCACAGCGCACATCCTCGGATACCAGCCTCAGATCCTTTGACAAGAAATTTCCCGACAGCGACCCAAACGGCTCACGGGAATACGTGAGAACGCTGAGTCCACAGCATCTGAATGCTCAGAAACTGGCTGAAATGTATAACCAGATGACAAAGACACAGTCCTTCTCGGATCTCAACACAATCAACAGCACACAACCTGCAGCTGTGTCAAACCATGAGGTAGAGTTGGAGATGAAGGAAGTCCCAATGGCCACCGAACGGCAACCCAAGGAAAGAGCATTTTCTGACTGAGTCGAACAAAAGTGTGCTGCAGTTCCAGAATGTGAGGAGGGTGGTACAGATATTCCGCATCATGAGAATATTGAGGATTCTGAAGTTGGCAAGACATTCAACAGGACTGCAGTCTCTTGGATTCACCCTCAGGCGCAGCTACAATGAGCTCGGCTTACTCATATTGTTTTTAGCCATGGGAATCATGATATTCTCAAGTTTGGTCTTCTTTGCAGAGAAGGATGAGGATGCAACCAAATTTACCAGCATCCCAGCTTCGTTTTGGTGGGCTACAATCACCATGACCACAGTGGGCTATGGAGATATTTACCCACAGACTCTGCTTGGCAAAATAATCGGAGGACTTTGCTGCATTGCTGGTGTGTTGGTCATTGCCTTACCCATCCCTATTATTGTGAATAACTTCTCCGAGTTCTACAAGGAGCAGAAACGACAGGAGAAAGCCATCAAGAGAAGAGAGGCCTTAGAACGAGCCAAGAGAAATGGCAGCATTGTTTCAATGAACCTGAAAGATGCCTTCGCACGAAGTATGGAGCTAATGGACGTCGCCGTGGACAAAGGTGATGATAAACGGCCAATGGACAACCACCTTTCTCCGAGCCGGTGGGGTGTTCCACAGCGCACATCCTCGGATACCAGCCTCAGATCCTTTGACAAGAAATTTCCCGACAGCGACCCAAACGGCTCACGGGAATACGTGAGAACGCTGAGTCCACAGCATCTGAATGCTCAGAAACTGGCTGAAATGTATAACCAGATGACAAAGACACAGTCCTTCTCGGATCTCAACACAATCAACAGCACACAACCTGCAGCTGTGTCAAACCATGAGGTAGAGTTGGAGATGAAGGAAGTCCCAATGGCCACCGAACGGCAACCCAAGGAAAGAGCAATCACCGATGTCAGGAGCATATCGAGTGTTGACAGCTTTGCGAGCTGCACTGCTGAGTTTGGACAGGGTGAGAAGGCATCCACCCCTTCTTATACAGCAGAGCAGATTCAGCAAAGGCAATCGAAAGTACCTCCGAAACTTCACCTCGGCCAGCTAACACCCTCTGACATGAGTCCGGAGGAGAACTCTGAGACTCTCAACCGAGACATCGACAAGTCACCCGATGGGGAGAACTTCAACGAGGTCATAGAGAACATCAGAAGCTCCATTCGAGGCACAAATCCAATGAAGACAAAGGGCCTCAAAGTCAACTTCATCGAAACGCCAGAGGACGCTCCTCTGACACCGCCCAACACATCTTCTCCACAGGATGTCAACAACAGTCTTCTGGAAGACGACTCCCCGGAGGGAGAGTGCTCTCCTCTTTGTTCAGATTCGGAAATGCTGGGTAGTATCCCAGTGAAAGGCTTGGTTCTTTCTCCGAAGATGCTAGCCGGTGGATACCATCCTGGGGAGACGGCACTGCTTCTGGGGAACCTGGAGGAACAGGATTACCATGAGGAACAGAACCAAACGGAAGTGGCTTCTGCAGCCATCTCCTCACCCAAACTAGCAGCACAGAACTGCACTCAAGTGGTAGTCGGTGGTAATGGGGAGGAAAAGCCAGACTCTAACCAAAGTGAACACAAGGTAGAGAACCACATGTTTACGCCGGAGATCCATCTAATGCCAGGGGATGGCAATCACTCGCCATCTTGCGAAACCGGTATGTGACTGTGGCTTGACATTCTGACAGAGTGGAGCGCACTGGTGGAGAAAGGGGCACTCAGATGTGGTCTGAAAGATATTTTTGCATGGCATGAAAAGTCCCTTGTAATTGTGTCATTGTCAATAACACAAAAGAGACTGCAGTTTCTTGCAGACGAGACCTGGAGGATGCGGGTGCAAACGAGAGGCTTGTTTAGAATGTATTTACCCAACAATGAGGACACTGTTGACCTACCTGTAGATTTTACCTTTTCACTTGTTTATTATTTTTTAGAGACAGTCGGAACCATAGGGGGACAGATCTACAAGAGCATGCATATTAACAAAGCTGTTTTACGGTGCTTAGTTTGCTGAGAGCACTCCACGGTAAATATAGAGACTACAGCAATGACAATGCACATAGCCACAGAGGGTATAATAGATGTCAAAAGGGTTTTTGTTAGCCTTTTTTCCGTTTTAAAGAGGGAATTTTCATCAAAGACTGTGAAAAGTAGCGACGTATTGAAACATATCATGACTTTCTGTAGAAATGCAATGTGTACATTATGCAGATGTGTTTGTGTTTTAGGAATGGTCTACGATGTCACATATTTATTTGGGGGGTTTATTTTGTTTTATTTTTATTTTTTGGTTGGGTACTCAAATTAGCAGCATCAAAATCTCGATTTAATGACCAGATGAATTGCACCACTTTTTTCTTGATATCAGCGTTGCATATACACCTGTAGTTGCCAAATGAGAATAGCAATCGGATAATATACAGTAGCTGTAAATGCAAATTATATATTGACTATTATGTATCGCCATAGCGAGCGATACCTGGATAAAGTTAGATGTCAACTTTCAAAAAAAAGTTTTAGGTTTAAACATATATTATACAAACACATGAGTACAGCGGGTATGTATGTCTTAGCTTATCTTTACATACTCAAATATTCAATAGCACAGCAAACAGTCAGTTTAAGAAAAACTAGTCTACATAGTGGTATTAGACTAATTAGTGTTATCAAATTAGTGGTTCTGGTCATTCAAACCTACAAATGTTCTTCACATATTTCCCTGTTAAAACTAAATAAAACAGTCCTCTTAGTAATGCTATATTTACTTCTCAAAAGGACCAAAACACAAACTATGTTTTCATTTACACACAGACATCAAACTTAATAATTTTCTTCATTTGACGAGAGTACAGTAGTGTAAATGCCACTACAGTTTTAATTTTTCACATGAGTGGTTTCATTATTATTCATATTTCACCATATCTGTATCATTCAGATGCCTGACCTTTGAGTCATTTCTTAACAAAAACTCACATTTGTCTGGTTTTACAGAGTATTCAAGAATAGTTTGTTCTCTTTTGAGTTATGCATTACCATCTGGCCGACATGTTTTTCCTGTCACATGAGAGAATATCCATTTTGTGTTGCCTTTATTCCAAGATTGCTGGAAATGTGTGTATATTACTTGCTTTGGCATGGCAGTTGGCTGATTGTTCAAAATGTACATTGTGTTTGGAGAAATCACACAATCTGAATGGGCTGAACGAGGATTGTGAAAAAGACGAGGAGGAGGAGGAGGAACTCAAGACTTCAGCTGGCTCTGGTGGTTACGCTATGGTGGAAAGTGCAATACAGCATACTGCAATCTATGCAGGCCAAGAATTGTGGCACTTTATTTACAGTCTAATGGATTTGTAAGTGTACAGGCAGAGACTTCAATTGTATTTTTCAGATGATATATCTTTAATATTTGAAATATCAGTGTTACCACTCAAAAATAAAAAAGATTTGATATTTTACAAAAATACTTCACTCCGGTTATACTCTTCAAATAAGATTCTTCTGACAAATTAGACCAGGAGGGTCTTTTATAAATGTCTACAAACAGGTTCATTGAAATATGAAAAACAAACTCTTGAAATGATTTGATGGGCTCATAAAAAGTATTTTTGTTTTATCAATTAATGCTGACAGTGGTTCTATTTTTTCTAAACCAAAATTCTGCACAACAACAATTTCCTGCCATATGGAGTTTGAAATGATGCGTGCCTCTTCATAAACATTTATGAGAAGGCAACAAATCAGTTGGCTTTATTCATATAGCACTGTACAGAAAATTATACTTTTTATAGGGGGAAAAAAATCAGGTCTTTAAGTAATAGATAAGCGTAATATTAAGTTCTCAGGTTTTCTACGACACTAATCTTCTGATATGGTGGATGTCTATGTTTTCTTCATTTAAAAAACGCATCATCTTGTTTCTTTTGTTGTCGCTGTTTTTTAAAGAACGTCGTCACATGCCTGTTTCTGTTTTGATAGACTGTTGAATAATGGCCCATCTCATGCATTCCCACAGGATGGTCAGCTTCCCTGCTGTGTGTTATATGCCTCATATACAGTGGCCCCAAAAATATTTGGACAAAATGTATGATATTTTTTACAAAATATCAAATTAAGTAGAATTTATTTTACAGATACATAGCACAAGCACACTTTTTAAAGCAAAACATTTTTCAAAAATAAGAGACACTTTTTGGTTGTCAAATATTAATGTACAGTATAAACTGGTAGGAAAAAGTATTCAAAATGACTCAATTACTTTGAATAATAAAGAAAACTACTGTTAGTTTTGAAAAAAAAAAACCTTGCAAATGCTACTTAGTGTGATATTTTGTATGAAATTTAAGTGTCCAAATATTATATGGCGATGCTGTATATAAATATTGAAGGTTAAGTCATCAGTGAATGAAGTTTTGTAACAAATTTTGTGCCTGGCTAGCACCGCCTGTAGGCAACTCTGTTATGGTAAATGAATGGACTTTGTTTTTAGAGTGAAATATTTTTTCAGCATGTTAAAGCTGCTACAATGTACTCAGTACCACATACACAGCAACAACTGTTTAAAAGAAATACTTCACCAAAAAATGAAAATTCTTTCATCATTTACTCGCCTCCAAACCTGTATGACTTTCTTTCTTCTGTGGAACATAGTTGATATTTTGTCATACAATGAAAGTCAGTGGGGTTCAGTGTTGTTTTGGGCTGCACTGACTTTGATTATATGGACAAAAACGGTCTTCAAAATATCTAAACATATAAAGAAAGTATGAGCATGAGTAAATAAGGACAGACTTTTCATTTTTGAGTGAACTGTCCCTTTAAGTGATGCCAGCACAAGCAAAACGAAATATGATATAATGAAACGTCTCATGTCTTATAAGTTCTTGCATATGCTCAAAAATACAATTTCAGAGCCCTGATCATTTGAACAGCTCATAAGATAAAAGTTATTTATAACTGGTATCCCAGTATTTTTATCTGTCAATGGCAGGTTCTCATGCGCATTTTTGTGGCATTTCAAAATTACAGTTTTAACTATTGCACAAATGAAAGATTCACACCATTTAGCACCTGTTGAATAAAGGCAAATGAGTGGGGCTCAAAGTCGGTACTGTTAAACTCTTTTGTTTTCTTCAAAACTCACTCCAGGCAATCAACTGCTTATTGATCTGTAGCATGTCATCATATGACTATAGAAGCATCTCCCATTAGCCTTTATGGGAGCAGTAGATGCAAAGGGATTTGGGTCTGTGTGACTTGTGTGTAAATGGTAAAATGAACTCTAACAGCTGATGGACTGTGAACAAGCATGCTTCTCATCACATGATCATTTGTGATATATATCGTCATGGCAAGCGTGTAGTTTTATTTTTTTTGTTTGAAAGCGAGGTTAAATATGAGTGTGTCATCCCATGTGTCATAGCCTGTTCTCCCATGCATCCTTGCTACATTGTATTTCTTCCTCTCACGTCTTCTGCCTCTTTTCTGTTTTTGTTTAAATGATGTTATCTTGTATCTCAATGTCCGTAGACACCTTTAAGCTGCAGACTGTTTCTGCACATATCAGCATCTTTGAATGCATGTAGTAATCTGTATAATTATGTGATCACAGAACACTTTGTCATGGTACATGTATGTCAATATTTCTGTAAAATAAACTGCATTGTCTATGTTAAGTCTACTAGCATATGCAGGATAACAAATAAATGTGTAAATAACTCACTTGTGTTCTGCAACTTCCATCTCCTGCCTTTATTCAACCCTTTTCCTCTTCATAGTACACAAGAGCTAGACATTAAAAAATGGCAAAAATTAATTAAACACATTCAAAACAAGAATCCTGAAAAGAAGTAAATTACAATTTTCACAAAAAGATTAACGGTTTTCAACACTGATCATAAGAAATGTTTCTTGAGCCCCAAATCAGAATATTAAAAAGATTTCTGAAAGATCACACTGAAGATTGGACTTTGCCATCATTGAAATAAATGAAACAAATAAATTTGTAATAATAACAAAATAAATTTGTGACCCTGGACCACAAAACTAGTCATAATGGTCCATTTTTTTAAATTTGAAGATTTATACACCTTCTCAAAGCTGAATAAACAAGCTTTCCATTGATGTATGGTTTGTTATGATAGGATAATATTTGGCCGAGATAAATATTTGAAAATCTGGAATCTGAGGGTGCAAAAAATCAAACTATTGAGAAAATCGCCTTTAAAGTTGTCCAAATTAAGTTCTTAGCAATGCATATTACTAATCAAAAATTAAGTTTTAATATATTCACAGTAGGAAATTTACAAAATATCTTTATGGAACATGATCTTTACTTAATGTCCTAATGATTTTTGGCATAAAAGAAAAATCTATAATTTTGACACATACAATGTATTTTTGGCTATTGCTACAAATATACCCCAGCGACTTAAGACTGGTTTTGTGCTCCAGGGTCACATTTTAAAATGTATTGAAAAACAAAAAATAATTATAATAGTATTTCATAATATTATAAATTGTACTGTATTTCTGATCAAATAAATGCAGCCTTGATGAAAAAAAGAGACTTCTGTTAAAAAATCGTACAGACCCAAAGTTTTGAAAGGTAGTGTACCTGCGGCTCTTCAAGTGTCTCTTCTGTCCTCACTCTTGGGTGTATTTCCGGTTGAACATAGAGAAAACAAGAGATAATAAACATGTTTACATGATTGGCATGTAATCAAACTTAATATCTTGTGCGGTTTCACAGCCTGAGACAAAAGCAGGAATGTTTTTCTAGTTCAATAACTTTGTCAATCCAAAATTAATAAAAAAAAGGTGGTATTATACATGATAAACTAGCTTCTTGCCATATTAAGACCCCCTGGCCATCAAACACGGCCTATATATTCCACTCTCACGGGTGCTTTTCCAGTCGATACAGTAGGCTATATATTTTTTTTTTTTTTAAAGTCCAAAGTGTAGAATTACTTACATACAAAAATGATTTTATTGCTATTTTTTTATAAATACAAAATTATTTATTCTATAAAATAACAATTTTAATAGTAGTTTTGAAGCAACGTTATGCTCAGTACCTTGCTCTGTATATTTTGTCAAAAATGCATTTATCATCAAAATCTAACAAAATTTGGCGTAATTACAGAAGAGAATTCCACACACAGCCACACAACTTTGGTTTTCATCCTTATCTGAGCAAATTCCATCCCTAATGCCAGGGTTCACTAGCAAACGTGTTCATGGGTTGAACTAGTGTGGCACCTATTTTCTACACAATCTTTGAGAGCGTGAACAGGAAAATATAGCCTCATTTATTATCTATCTTTGTGTATCTTTGTGTTTGTAGATCATTTTAATTGCAGACTTGCTTCTATTCTAATTTTTTTTTTTTATTATGTTTTCCTCTGAAAGCAATATCTCAACCATTTGAAGTAAATCCTCAAGTTAAAGTTCATTCAGGGATTTTATAGATTAGCCATTAAGATTCTGCTTTTAATGTAGTTTATATGCTTGTCTAAAATATTTATGTATATAATAGAGTGTATACAGGTCAATCCTGTCAGGTAGAACTTAAAGAGCATTGAAAATGCTTATGTTGTCATTTATATGAAAGGAAATATAAGTGTATTAATTTGGTTAATATAAATAAGTGTATTATCTACATGGGTATAATATAATTAACATGATATAACTAACAGGTTGGAAATAAGAAGATAAACTTATGAAACTTACATGATGGTCAATTCTTCTAGGCCTATATTTTGTATATTTTAAACATGTTTAAAAATATCGATTTCTACCAGTTCCAATTTCTTTAATTTCATCAGACCAGGATGTAATATTTTAGATTCAAACAAACCACCTAAGTTACACAATTAATCACATAATTCATCAAATCCAAGGCTTCTGCTGTACTTTCCCCACCAAAATAATGATTTGTTTCATGTTGGAGCTAGGCCTACGTTACCTGCGGAAATGGCAAACGTCCTTCGGACACAGCAAAATCAGCTCAACGCAAAATATTTAAAAAAAAATAATAATATGTAAAATACGCCTCGTTGTTGACGTAGTTGTGAGATTTTGAGAAAAGCTTTTATTCAGTTCCACCATAAAACGTTCCTATTGTTGTTTCCTCCGCGCCGGCAGGTGGCGCTGCGGCCAGACTGGCTCATAAACTCCGCCAGCAGAACAGTCAGCGCTCGGCGGGAACGTTTGTTTTCAACATAAACAAGAAGATGGAGGGGTCGTCGAATGATATAATATCCAGCACGACTGATAAAATCAATTTAACTGAAGTCGAGGGTGTTGTCCAGTCATGGGTGATCGATTATTACTTCGCGGCGCTATGTCGGCTCTTCAGAGACAGATCTGCGCTGGAGTTTCGTAAAACTTTGAAACTATTTGAAAGTAATGTGTTTTTAGTGTAATAAATATATTTTTATTATAATAATTAATGCTAACTTAGATGCTTTTATTTATTTTTAATCGTACTGCAGATGTTGTGTGTACTGTATTCTCATTTGTTGTCTTGTTTATTCCACAGGTATAGTGGATGATCTTGAGTCGTGTTCCCACAGGTCAGAGCACCCCACTCAGAGAACGATCTGCTGCTTCCTTGCCAGAGTGATGGACGGGGAAAACCTGGGTAATGTCAACACATTATTAGCCATGTATATTTACATGTGCCAGATCATGTCTTTTCGTTTAAGAACCTTGCTTAGCTTTACAGTTAATTGAAATAATAGCTAGACATTTAACATCTACAGTGTAACTCCATGACGCAGTGCTGTCACGGTCCTGAAAAACCTGGAAAAATCCTGGAAATTTGAATGATTCTTTTAATTCAAAGCAAGAAACCACAGTTGAATAGAGTAAAAACGTTAAACTGATAGAAATCACCATCAGTCCACAATTTAATAATTAATAATAATTTATGCATTTAGCAGAGGACTTACAGTGCATTCAGGCTATACATATTTTACCAGTATGTGTGTTCCCTGGGAATTGAACTCACAACCTTTTGCACTGCTAACACAATGAAAGTGACGTGACATGTGGCCAAGTATGGTGACCCATACTCGGAATTAGTGCTCTGCATTTAACCCATCCAAAGTGCACACACACAGCAGTGAACACACACACACCATGAACACACACCCGGAGCAGTGGGCAGCCATTTTTTGCTGCGGCGCCCGGGGAGCAGTTGAGGGTTCGGTGCCTTGCTCAAGGGCACCTCAGTCGTGGTATTGAAGGTGGGATGCTCTACCACTTAGCCACAGGAACACAGGAATTTATTCATCACATTACATTCAGACATTAGTTTTGTATTGCAATTTTCTTGAATTATGTATACGTATGCAAATAAGCATTCTCTAATTAAACAGGCACACATTTGCGTGAATTTCCAGAACAGTGAATAAAGCCAGGTTCAAAATTCTTGATTCATTTTGACATATTGATATATGAGTTAAGTGTTTTTACAGAAGGGATTTTGGATCTTTTTCTATCAGCATTTAAATCAGAAAATGCTGTCAACGGCCAGAAAAAAAGAAAAAAAAAATTTACAATGTTTTTAGGATTTTTTTTTATACAAACCAGGAGATATATAAGCAAACCCCTCTGTTAAAACCTTAAGAATATAAAGAGGAATTGGAGGTGCTACTGAAGCGAAGTTTTATAACTCATGAGAGAGAGAAAAAAACTTGCCTTGTATGTAAAACACTGTGAAAACCTGATGACGGCTATAAATTCATAAACACACTTGTTGTAAAATGATGGCATTTTTTGAAGAACCTTTCTGATTTGTTTTCTCATTTTTTAACTCATTCTTACACTATCACAAGTCTTTTACAACTTTGATGAAGCCTCATCTAGATAGAGCATGAGATTTTGCAAGAGTACTGTACGGTATATCACGAAAACCAAATTCATTTTTTTAAGATGCAAAGACAAATGTAAACAAACGATTCAGTGACCGTTCAGTCAGCTAATCCATCATGTCAAAATCTGTCTTGTGTTGTGTATTTCAGAAGTCCGTTATGATCATGTTTCTCAAATCACTCCCTTGATGTCAGCGTTGCCGATTTGGGAGTCGTTAAAGAAAGTATCTGATTCAGACTTGCATGCTAAGATCAAGACGCTACTGATTGTTCAGGTATTTATGTTTGAGAGTGACAGGTGTTTCACATTGTAGAGTTTGAATGGGATTCAGTCCTGACAATTCTGTTTTTATTTTGTGTCCAAGTCTGTTGCTGTGTGTGTGAAGAAAGGACATTCAAAGTTGGCAAATGAAACCCTGCAGTGGCTGGAAAAAGAGACTGAGTTACCAGCGGTGCGTATTTATTTACCTGTTACAGTTTAACATGCTTTTTCATACAATGCAGCAAATTAACATCATTTTTTCCAAACAGAAACTACAAGGAAAGCTGACCACCATTGTGAGTAAGAAGGACACGTATGATCAGCTCCTGATGAACTTCACTTTCGACCAGCTTTTGGAGAACATTGACACATTCCTCAACACATTCAGCCAGGGACGTTCCTCCGTTTTCTTATTCGAAGTATGAGGACTTTTTTTGTCATGCTTACCAAAAAACGAATCCACCTTACATCCTGTGGGAAAGTCCTAATGGGCTTCATTGACTGGGGTTTCAATGTGTTCACCGTATTTGCCTAAAGATCTCTTAGAATTGTGGTGTTTTCCTGAGGGTATGGGATGGAAATTGTGCAATTAGCTTCCCCCTCAATACTCAATAACCACCTAATAAAGGTAAAGACAAGATGTTGAGCTCTTAAGAGCAGATTTGCTTGCCACTAATGGTTTACTTTGTGATTTATAAACTGTGTATTTTGCTGCATATTACAAGAAATGCAATGAAGTGCCTCACCCTTTTTTTTTGGTGTATGTTTGTTTTAGGCAGCATTAAAAGTGGTTCAAGCCCGTCATGAGAGATCTGAGAAAACCTCATCTGAACAGGATGGAAGTGAAAGGACTCCATCCAGCACAGAGTCAAACAAACCAGAAGAGTAAAAGCATCTCTTTCATCTATACAATTTTAAACTGCAGTTGTCTGTTAATAAAATTAATTCACATTTTATTTATTTGGTTCTGGTCATTTATAAATTGAATAAAACTCTTTTTCTAAAGTAAAATCTTAAATTGTGAATTTTTTTATTTAATATGCATTTTAACTGAATAAAATATTTTAAATATAAATTAATTATTTATTTGGTGTTGGTGTTTCCACACAGAAATGAGGAACAGGTGGATCCACTGGTGCTAAATATCAGGTGAGGGCCTTGAAAGTGATTTCAACAGCGACATACCCTTACACTATATGAACATTAACAGTCACCTGACTAACACCTGACACTAATCATCAGTGATTTATAATTCTCAAGTGAAGCTGACCTCAATTACATTACCTTATTGTTTTTTTATCTCTCAAATTACTTGATTTAGTTGTCTTAATGCTAATTGCTTTCATTGAAAACAAATTCATGAAATTGAAATAATTCTGTCTCTCTCACAGACCCAAAAGGAAACTTTTTTCAAAGCAAATTCATGACGTATGGAAACCTGAAACTGCCAAGAAAGAGCGAACCACGCGCAAGAGAACCTCCATTTACAGTACGTTCTCATTTACTGTATATTCTTTTACTGAATCATTGTTAAAAGGATAGTCAACTAAAAATGTGCTCACTCGTGTTTTTCCATGAGAAAAATACTTCACATACTGTAGATCTTCTCAATTCTTATAACCGCACATTTTTATAAATGTGTACCATAAACTTCTTTAAAATTCTGTTTTTGGGTTCCACAGAAATAACATCATACACGTTTAGAACAACTCTTTAAAAACTCTATGAACATGAAGTTCCTAATATAAATCTCTAATCATTAATAAATGCTGTTTTATGCACACAGAAATTTCCAGAAGTAGTGTCTGTTCAGATTTACAAAGCAATGTTAGTGTGACAAGCCAGTCCAGAAGGGTGAGTTACTCTAAAGGTGGACATCTTCACTGTGTGTGTGAGTGTGTGAGTGTGTGAGTGTGTGTGAGAGTGTGTATACCTGTTTTTCTATTCTGGTGGGGACTTAAACCTGAATACACACAGACTCATGGGGACTCGAGTCACGGTGGGGACCTAAATTGAGGTCCCCACGGGTAAACAAGCTAATAAATCACACAGAATTAAGTTTTTTGAAAATCTAAAAATGCATAAAGTTTCCTGTAAGGGGTAGGTTTAGGTGTAGGGTTGGTGTAGGGCAATAGAATATATGGTCTGTACAGTAGAAAAACCATTATGCCTATGGAGAGTCCCCACAAGGATAGCAAACCAGACGTGTGTGTGTGTGTGTGTGTGTGTGTGTATGTTTACAGTACAAGCATTCGTACGCATAATAACAGCATCAATGTTTGTTCCTTTCAGAAATGGACCGCAGAAGAAGACAGGAAGCTGAAAGCAGGTGTGAGGAAGTATGGGGAGGGCAAATGGAGAATGATCCTGAATGACTTTGAGTTTGACAACCGCACCGGTGTTAATCTGAAGGACAGATGGAGAATCCTGAAGAAAATAGAAGACTATTGAGCTGCCGGCGGCTTCTGCTTTTAGTATTTAAAGAGCTTTAGAGTTGAAGTTTTCAGTATTTAAGCTGTTTTCAGTCACTTTTTGAAAGTGTATTCCTTCTTTCTTTTTTTTCGGTTAAGTTTACGTAATGCATTTATTCACACAAGTGTTTCAGAGTTCAGTGAATAATTCCATTGTTATGCATGTAATTTCACGAAATATGTTTGGAATTCAGGAGCGCCGTTTTGTAAATTAAAAGTAAAAACTATTTAGCAGAAGTATCACTGCTGGAAAAACAGCTTTAGAAGCTTTCTGTTGCTGTTTGTTTGAACTGTAAGACCAACATTTGTCCAGTAGAGGATGCAAGTGAGTTTGCAAGTTTTTTTGCCTTAAATCTGTTCCTAGAGATTTTCACAGGGGGAAAAAAAACTAATTTGAAGCTACAACTGTAAAAACTAAAGAACTTTTAATAAATGTATGTGAAAGTGGGACATGTTCATTTGTGGATTTTAACAAGGGAGTGAAGAATCATCTTAGGTGGGTTTAAATGAAAATTAAGCTGTGCACATGTGGACAGGAGCAGTGCTGTAGTCTCTGTACTTTCCTCCATGTTCCTCTGCAGCGAGGGCTTCCCACTGCCTGCCAGTGTAGAAGCTCATCCCTGCCAAGACAAGAAGAGTCTACCATCAGATAGCACGTAGGGCTGTGCGATATTGAAAAAAAATGCGATAACTCATTAAATAATTCGATATGCGATACGATAATGCTTAAAGTGCCACATGCTCAGATGAAACAGTTTCACTCAGCTGTTGCTGAGTCAGTTCTGTGAACTTCTATATCTATCTTGTCATATATATATGGTTATTTGTATGTATGTACCAAGAGTTCCTGTAAAACCACAACAAATTCCTTGTGTTTGCTGCAGCGAGGGCTTCCCACTGCCTGCCAGTGTAGAAGCTCATCCCTGCCAAGACAAGAAGAGTCTACCATCAGATAGCACGTAGGGCTGTGCGATATTGAAAAAAAATGCGATAACTCATTAAATAATTCGATATGCGATACGATAATGCTTAAAGTGCCACATACTCAGATGAAACAGTTTTACTCAGCTGTTGCTGAGTCAGTTCTGTGAACTTTTATAACTATCTTGTGTCATATGGTTATTGGTATGTATGTATGTATCAAGAGCTCCTGTAAAACCACAACAAATTCCTTGTGTTTGCACACACTTAAGTGGTGAATACAGCGCATTTTGATTCTGATTCTAGTAAGAAAGCACCCCTACAACAACTTCTGAAAGTGAAGGGTAGTGTTTTACTCTAGCATTACATAAAAATGTCCTTTTAACATTAGTGTAATCATTTTAACATGAGTTTAGGAACTGAATAATAAAATGGAAAAATAAAACTGCTTAGTATTTACTCTGAATTCAATATGCTCTGATTCTTATTTAAGCTACAAAAGTTATTTAGGTAAGAGCAGTGAGTGATTTTCTCGTCTTTTGTTCATGGCCCCAAATATTGCAAGCTGTGGCGATATGTACGTTTGCGATATTTCGATATATTGCACAGCCCTAGATGGCAGGTACAAAAACCTTATTTTACATTATGAGTTTTGTGATTTACATTTCATTTGCATTGTGTTTGATTTCTTTCCATGATATTTAAAGGATTCTGGCATGAAATGCTTGACTTGTCTTGCAATGGCTAGTTTTATAGTTTATACCATTTAAAAGATCTAGGTCTTTATTTTTTTTTTTATTGTTTTTGCGTTTTTGAAAGAAGTCTCTTATGCTCACCAAGGCTGCATTTATTTGATCAGAAATACAGTAAAAACTAATATTGTGAAATTTAAAATAACTTCAAAAAATGTCTTAATAGTTTAAAATATAATGTCATTGCAAAGAGGATTTAGACTCAGCAGTCAGTACTCCAGTCTTTAGTGATCTTTCTGAAACCAGTCTGATATGCTAAAAATTCTACGTTATTTAAAAGTTTTGTGGAAACCTGATGCATTTTTCTTTTTGCCCGGGATTTGTTTGGTGAATATGAAGTTCAAAAGAACAGCATTTATTTGAAATAAACTATAAACTTAAAGGTCCTCTGAAGTGCCTTGAAACACCCAAAAAAAACTTTCATTTTGATTTCATGGGGACTTTAACATTATAATAGGTTGTATTGACAATTGATCAATTTAATGGGTTCTTGCTGAATGAAAGTATTAGGCCTAATTTATTCAAATAAAAAAAAAGTTTACTTTCATCTCAAGCTCTCCTTTGTGAATAAGTACTCTATTCCTCATTTGTAAGTCGCTTTGGATAAAAGCGTCTGCTAAATGACTAAATGTAAATGTAAAAAACATACAGGAGGAAACTCTTGGTCATGTTGAAAATGGCACAACACATGGGGGACAGTCATATAAAAATAGTTCTTTTTACACATTAATTCACATTGTGTTTAGATTATTACTGTAAGTTAAGAAGTGCATTGTTTTTATGAGCAATTTTCATATTTTAAATATCAAAGTCTGGGCCTTGTAAAATAGTAAAATGTATGCAGAAACAATGAAGGCATAAAAAAGGGTTTTAATCCAGTTTTAATTCGAAATCTGTTGGTTTAAAGGGGTCATATGATGCGATTTCAAGTTTTCCTTTCTCTTTGGAGTGTTACAAGCTGATTGTGCATAGATAAGATCCCTGAAGGCAAGTCTGTAGTTGAAGAAACATCCATATGCCTCAAGTACTACATTGAAATCGCAAGCACTAGAAATCCTAAAGGTCAGAGTTCAACCATTCACAATGGTGATGAAGGACACATTAATATGGCACAAGAGTCTTTTGCAAAACGTCTCATGAATTCTGTTGTTGTTTCAGCATGAAATCATCTGAACTCACAAGATGATGTGCTATTGTTGCTGCATCAGAATCAGGTTCTCTAAAAAAAAAAATAACACTGGCATTATGGGTACACTACCTCTCAGCTAGGTTACCGTCTCCTTGGCAGCTCCGACTGTGGTTGTTCATCGCCGGAGGTTGGCAGGCAACACAGACAGTGTAGCCCTCCCTCAAGTACTGCATCCAGCGCGTGTAGGGCCTGTTCTCCACCATGCACTGCGCTGTCAGAGACTCCATCTTGAACTCCATACAGAAGCTGTGGAGCACACGCCATCATCAAGTGACTTAAGTGTTAATTGCGAGAAAAAAAATTCAGATTTATATAAATATAAAATCAAGTCACATTTAAATTACAAGAAGCAATTACAAGAAGTTAAATATTGTGACAATCTGTTTTTATAGCTTAAAGCAGTGGTTCTTAAACCATAGACTGTATGGTTAAAACACAATAAATTTTAATTTAATCTTTGAGTAAAGTTTTTCTTTTTTCTTTCTTTTTTTTTACATTTAAGTACAGTACAGTTTTTATTTAACTTTTAGGTACAACACATTTTCATTTATCATTATTTAAGTTTTTTATTTACCTGTTTGTAAGCACTGTGCCGTGTTAATGTGCAAACTGTGTATTTACAATGTTCAGCTGGCTGACAACAATAAATATTCTTATTAGGAATAAAACTGCCTCGTTTTTGAACTGTGCAGAGCTGTAGCTGAATAGTTAGGCCTACTACGCTACTGTATTTTAAGATTGGTCATTATGGTGGTACTTGGAGAGCCAAATATTTTCTGAGGTGGTATTTGGTTTAAAAAGTTTGAGAACCGCTGGCTTAAAGTAATGAACTATTTGTTGAAATGAGTAAACAGGCTTCTCATCACAAATTCTCATCATGAACAGTGTCTTTGTGCTTGTTTAATCTACGGTGATACATACCCAGCATCCACTGGGGCCCCATACAAATCATGTGTTCTGCCTTTGCTGTACTCCATTGTTGTTATAAATGCTGCTCCTGGAATTAATCCAACACAGTCCCTGTTTAGGTTCCACCAATAAACAGCTAAGTGATCAAATTTAGCCCATCAAATAAAATAAAAAAAACTTGTTAAAAATTTATACATTTATTAAAAATTAATAATCAAATAAATTTAAAAGTTCCTTAGTTTTTTTGACGCACTGTGTTTTTTCTAATCTCTGCCAGTGTAAACAAGAAGGCAGGCCATTTTAAAAGCAATACTGAAAGAGAAGTACACTTATTTGTTTTGAATATGTACTTGTAGTACTTGTACTTCAAATCTTACAAAGTATCTATTTTTTAAAAACTACTTGCAGATAGTATAATATTAATGTGATAAAAATAGAGATTTCTTACTTGTACTTCTTCTGTACTTCTTTTGTCATGCTTCAACTTCAAACTTACTTTGATGTGTTTACTAACCTACCTGCTAAAGCACTGTGTTTTTTGATAGGCTACTACATGAATAAATTGGGTAACACTTTATTTTAAGGTGTCCATGTTACACGTTACATCTACTTATTATAATAACAATAAATTCTGCATAATTACATGCAAGTAGCCAAACACTAACCATACAGTAAGTACATGTAGTTAATGAATGTTTCTCACTACTTAAATGTATAATTACACTGTAATAAGGACATTTTAAAATAAAGTGTAACCATAAATTGCAACTTCATCATTACAAATGTATAATTAGAAGTGCATTAAATACATGACACACAATTTTAATAAAAGTTGCTTTCAAATATATTTTAGTTTACCATAAATGCTTGGCAGTACATTCGGAAACACACCTTAACCATTATACAAAGACAATAGAATTATGAAATTACATTTGATTATGTACTTAAGTCCTACTTAAGTTGGTCAAAAACTTAATTTAATATAAAGTTCAGCAAATTTCATTTAATATAAATGTAAACTATAATACATTTTCATTTCATTGTAAATAACATGCAGTTGAATGTCTGAAACATTACATTCAGTTTGCACTTAAGTATTCTTTAAAAATATATTATTCTGTAATAAGTACTGCGATTTTCACAAGAGCTCTTACAAATATGAATTAAAAAAAAATACAAATATGTTGTCTATGGAAAACTTTGAAATGATTACACTGTTTAACATTTGTTCTGCATTTGGGCCTAAAATATAGCCTATTTTGACTAAGATTCATACCTTGCACAGAAGCGCAAAACTGTCCCTGGTGGTCCTGATACTCCATGCATCCGGCCTGTTCCTCCAGCCTCGGACAGGCCTGTCCGCTGTTTTGGGGCAGTTTCTCAACGCTACGTCTCCGGACCCGGAATGAGGGCTGGCAGGGTTGTGCGCACCCGCTCCAATGACTCCACTCACTCACTACACACGGCTGAGCTAAAAACACAACCCACAGGTGAGAAACAGGTCCAAGATCAGCACGATCAGCAGTTCAAACCAGTGGGGGCCCACTAGGCCCTAACAAACTTCCAAGGGATCCTCAAGATATGCAACAAGATATATCTTATTTGAATTCTCTCGACGATCCTTTTTTTTTTTTTTTTTGAAATTCCAGGATTCTCCCAGTCTTGAAAAATCTATATTTTGGGGTACATTTTGGCTACATTTTAAAAATGTGATTTCTGGACCTGGAAAAGTCATTTAAATTAATACAATCTTACTTTATACATTATAGATATATAACACAACCCATTTTATTACTATACATTTTCTTAGTATGTCAAGCTCTAAAATATTCTATTTGGTATTTTGAGAAGAAAAAAAAAAAAATAAAATAAAATGTGGCCTACAAAACTTGTAAACAGTGGAAGACTTTGAGTCATAAAGGCTGAGAACCATTGGTATATAAATATTAAAATAATGCTTGTGTCAAGTTGTGACATGGCAAACAACTTTTTTTAATTATTAGTGCTATAACAAATGTAAATGACTCAGGCCTACATAAGTTTTTGAATGGCACTACATTAATTACAAATTACACTACATTAATAAGTCAGTGCAGATTTGATAGCTCAGCGTAAAAACAGACGCTGCCCTGGCAGATCTGTATAGGATACATGACAGAACTGAATTCTGTTTTGCTCAATATTTTCGTATTTGACAGCTCGTGCATTGATACAGCTTTGATGCTGACTGCTTTTGTATGAAAGGAAGAAATATTATCCTAAAATATAAATTGCGCTGGTTTTTGCAAAAATAAAATAAAATAAAATAAATATATATATATATATATATATATATATATATATATATATTGTATGTGTTGTATGTATTGTATTGTTTGTGACTTAATATTGTAATTTTGTAACAACATCCTGCCCAGGGACTGCAGATGCAAATTAGCTTTATAGCTAACTCTGGCACAACACTGTTGTTGTGCGTTGTCCCTGTACAAATAAATGAAATAAACTAAACTAAACTAAGCTCCACATGCCATTTAATCAATGTCTTGTGAAGTGAAAAGCTGCGTGTTTTTGAGAAACAAATCTATCGTTAAGGCATTTTAACTTTAAACTGTTGCTTCTGGCCAAAATCCATAATCCATAATAACGTTTCCTCCGGTGAAAAGTCTATCCTCTGTTGTCCTCTCACATTAAAATCCACTGACATATTTGTTTAGAACTGTTTTCGACTGTTTTCACCTATAACTGTGACTTTATCTGTGCATATTTGTCTCCTGATTCAGATGAGCCAACTTTTTCAATGGAGAAACCAATATTATGGATAGAGGACTCTGAATTTGTTTATTACAAACACTTTACAAGGTGTGGATTATTGTGATGTTTTTAATCAGCTGTTTGGACTCTCATTCTGACGGCACCCATTCACTGCAAAGGATTCATTGGTGAGCAAGAGTTGTAATGCTAAATTTATCCAAATCTGATTCAATGAGGAAACGAACTCATGTACATCTTGGATGGCCTGGGGATGAGTACATTTTCAGCAGATTTTCATTTTTTGGTGAACTATTCCTTTCACTGAAAGACTACATTACTACCACAGTACTATTTAAATGAACTACATTAACTGATGTATAAAATCTATCATTTTATATTTATACTATTTAAAATATGTACTAGAAAAAAAATTGCCCAGTCATCTACCAAAATATTACTGTACCACATACCTGGACACTCTGTTGGGTAGTCAAAGCAGCAGTCTTTAGTCTTTAAACACTTCTCATCACAATAACACATCCCATAGACACGGTCCATCCTCCAGTCAGTAGTGGCACAGGTGAAATCTGTACCTTCACAGCACCTTCCTGAGCATCCGCCTTCTGCAAACTGGTACATCCCAAAAAGAGTGGCCACCACCAGAAGAGCACTCCGGTCCAGTGACAACAACCCCATCATTTCCAAAAAGAACTCTAAAAAGTCCCTGTTACTGTCTTCGGTTCCTCTTGAAGTCAGTGCCACAGGTCTCATTCCTGGAGAGGAAATGAATCTGTCACAGGTGAAGTCATGCTTGTGACCTGGAATTCCTGTGACCAAACAACTCTTCTGTTTGCACAGAGAAAAACACAGCTTGGGCTGAAAGAATGAGCTATTCTGTGGCAATCAGAGCAGAGGAATTGAATGTCCACCCCTGATGTGTCTGTAAAATCCGTCTGGAACGCTCTGCCCTTGCTCCAGCACACAAAAGTGAACGAGGTAGAGAAAAAGAGAGGTGGGGAAATGTTGTTTGAGTGAAGGGTGTGTGAAAGCTCTTTCTCTCTATACTGCTCTTTTGGCTGCTATGCCCTGTTGTACCACATCAAACTGATCTCAAATCAGTGCCCAGCCTGTTTCTGAAGCTTGTACAGCAGGGAACAGTGGGAGGAATGTGAGCATTTGGCCTGGCTCCAGTCTACAGAGCCTGGGGCAGCACAAGGCCCGGTTGCTGTCACATCTTCATATCGAATCCACAAGAGCAGACAGTACATGAGCGCATCCACCACTGCTATGCAAACTCCCACAGAGAGACTTCATGTTATGTTTGTTAATTAATGGTTGTGACGGTTCCCGTTGTTTGAATTTGGGCGAATTGTGATTTGCAGCTCCGCCTACGACTCACCTCAATTTGCAGTCCATTGCCTACACCTGCCACTGTGGTTCAGATGCTCCTTTAAAGGAGATACTAGCAGAGACAAAGGAGTCTTGGACTTGGGATATTGGGTTGTGTTTGGTTTGATTTGTATTGTTTTGAGCACTTTTACATGGCAACAACAGTACATTACACCAGCAGCCAGGCACCCCGCTTTACACACTGATGATGCTGACGTTTTCAGAAATATTATCTTTTCTGTTGTGTTTTGTTCTATTATAGTGATTTACTTTTGAGCTTAATAAAGTCTTTTCCTATTGAGCTTTATGCTTTCGTGTGTCCCTCCTTTTGTTGCTTCCCTTCGAGCCAGGGGTTGTAACAATGGTGGTATGTCTGCGACATTTCCTCTTTGGAGTGATGGAAATGTGATTAGGTGAGAGAATTAGGTTACTGAATTAGTACTTATCTAATCAGTATACAACCATAACTCAATCAAAGTCAGGATCTACGTGTGGGTTGATTTACAACACACTGAAAAGTTCAAAGTCCACATATAAACCAGTTTAAAAAGTCAAACCGCAAGAAAAGTGGAACTGCAAATGATATGTATATATATATATATATATATATATATTATTATTATTATTTTGAGCTGCTCTTTTCCATAAACAAAAACCAGACCAGAACATGTCAAGCTCCAAAGAGGACATAGTCAATTTGTCTTAGGTACTATAAGTCATGTGCAGTGTTGGGGAGTAACTAGTTACATGTAACAGAATTACGTAATTTAATTACAAAATAAATGTAACTGTAATC